AGCGGATTTACTATGACAGGAAATATTGATATGGGTGGAAATAAGGTTGAAAATGTTGCCGATCCGACTACCCCCCAGTCTGCTGTTACCAAAAGCTGGTTCAATCTAAATGAAGGTACGTTCTTAAGGTTAGATGGAACAGGATCAATGAATGTTGGTGGTACTGTAAATTTTAGTAATGCCCCCACATGTAACTCAGACCCTAATATTCCAAATAGTCTTGTGCGTCTGCAGTATCTTAAGAATTATACAAATAACTTACTAAAACTTAGCGGTTCGCGAGCAATGATAGGTAACCTTAAAATGGGTGGAAATGAAATAATAAATGTTGGAGCTCCTACAACTGATAATTCTGCTGTGTCTAAGAAATGGGTCGCGGATCATGTCAGTGGGAGTTCCGTAAGTAGTAGTGGATTTACTATGAGCGGTAATATTGACATGGGTGGCAATACTATTACAGGACTAAATAGTGGGTCAACAGGAGGTTCTAGTGCCGTTTCTTACGGTTCTATGACTTCTTGGTGTTCACAGTTTCTTAAGCGTGATGGTGGCACTTTAGCTAGTAACTTAGATGTTAACGATTACGAGTTGACTAGAGTTGGAAATCCTACTACTGACGGTTCAGCTGTTAATAAGAAATGGGCAACAGATGAGTTCATGAGTAGTAGAGGTGGACTGGTAAAAGGTGATTTGGATATGGGAGATTCAAGTGGAATTCTTGATCTAAAGGATCCTGTAAATGATAAGGATGCTGTTAACAAACAGTGGGTAGAAAAGAATTTCCTAAAACCTTCAACTGGTCTTACTCAAGCAACGGCTGACTTAAGATATGTAAGAATACGGCGACATATACATGCAGAATGGATTTGGGGTTATCGTGGTGTTTCAGTTGCAGCAACAAGGTACTACGCTTACTGTCACAATCAGATTCCACCTTCATGGAGAACAGATCCTATTAATAATATGGCAGACCTGAACCTTGAATCAATAACTATAAAAACAGACTACCCACGTTTTTCAACTGTTCTAAATATACCCCTAGCTTTAATCCTATGGGCTACTGTATGGGAAAAACAATCTAACGGAAAATTTACACAGGTTAAGAAGGAAATCACCCTTGCCACGGTTGACTTAAGAAGACTGTCACACACCTGGTTTAATGGAACTTACACAACTACCGGTGGAAGTACAGCCTGCTACGTTTTCAAGGGTAATAGTATGTTCTATTTAGGAGCCCAGGCTGAGTTGGTAGATAACACGCTAGCCTGGTGTATTATAGTTAAACCTGAACACTCAATGCCCACTGGTACTAGCATGGATATGTCCTTTTGCTGGTCACTCCGATATTCGGGGTCAGGTAGTTAACATGTGGTTTATCATAAGATAAGATGTCAAGGTGGAGGTCATGCTTCTCCTGCTTAGGTAAGATTTGTGGTTGTCGTAAGAGTTCTAGTAGAACTGGGAAGTCTGGTGATATAAATTTCTCCGTATCCAATAATATCAACATTGGAGTAAGTACACAGAATAAAAAGGATGACTTGGACTTTAGACCAAATTCTGAAAGTTACGGTCACCTAAGAATGCTTGAGGAAAAATCAGATAGTAAATAGAGAATTTAATAGGAATAAAATAAATTATCTAAAAGTAAAATAAAAGTGGTCTAGAAAAATGAGGTAAAAAAGACCAAAGAAAAAATGGTCTAGAAAAATATGAGCCCGCGTTTTTCGGGGAAAATATGGAAACCGCTGACCGGAAGTTGGGTGTGATCGCGGGCCGAAAAAGTGGTCTAGAACCCTCATTCCCTATACTACTGCTTTTGCCTTCAAAGTGCCCTTGCCTTTGCCATCAAAGGGCATTTGCCTTCAAAGTGCCCTTGCTTTTGCCAGCGAAGTGCCCTCGCCATCGAAAGGACAAATGCCATCGACGATCCAGTGCCATGGAAGGGCCTTTGCCGTCAAAGTACCCTTACCTTTGGCTTCAAAGTTCCTTTGCCCTTGCCTTCGAAGGGCTTTTGATATTGGATGGCCTTTTCCTTCAAGCCAGCGCTCCATATATAATGTTTTAAACTACTCCATCGCTTTAACCGTGGAAACATCCTTCGTCCTAAACTCTCTGGTAATGCAACATCCTCCGACCAAGCCGTACCAAGACTAGAGTGATTGTGAGAAATGAGGATGTTTGCTTGCTACAATCGAACAATGCACGCATTGCATTCGGACAACCTTTGCGTTCGAACTGCTTTTTAATTTCCTTTTTCTTCGTAAGTTGTTTGCCTCCGCCTTTGCTTTCCAAGAGTCTTTACTTTGCCCTTCGAAGGGTCTTTGCCTTCAAAATGCCTTTGCGATCGGAGAGCCTTTGCTCCAAAGTGCCCCTGCCTTCGGAAGGCCTTTTCCTTGAAGCCAATGCTCCACACATATAATGCTTCAAACTACTCCATCGCTTTAACCGCGGCAACATTCTCCGTCCTAGACTCTCTGGTAATGCAACATCTTCCGACCCAGCCGTACCAAGACTCGAGTGACTGTGAGAAATGAGGATGTTTTCTTGTTACAGTCGTGCAATGCACTCTTTGCATTGTACGACTGTAACAATGTGCCCTTGCATTTGCCTTTGCCATCGAAGGGCGTTTGCCTTGAAAGTGCCATTGCTTTTGCCATCGAAGGGCCACTGCCATAGAAAGGCCATAGCCATCGCTTTGCCTTCAAAGTGCCCTTCACCTTAGCTTCGAAGGCTTTTGCCCTTGCCATCGAAGGGCCGTTGCCTTCAAAGTGCCCTTGCATTTGCCATCGAAGGGCCTTGGCTTTCAAAATGCCCTTGCCTTTACCATCGAAGGGCCTTTCGAAGCTCCACGTACATATAATGCTTCAAACTACTCCATCGCTTTAACAGCGGCAAAATCCCCCCTGCTAGACTATGGGGCTTTAGACTCTCTTTCGAAGAGACTTTACTTTGCCTTCGAAGGGCCTTTGCCTTTGAATGGCCTTCGCCTTTGCTTTCAAAGAGCCTTTCCTTTGCCTTCGAAGGGCCTTTGCCATCGAAGGGCCCTGTCTTCGAACAGCCTATTCCTTCAAGCCAATGCTTCACATATATTCTCTTTTCTCACAATCACTCGAATCTTGGTACGGCTGAGTCGGAGGATGTTGCATTACCAGAGAGTTTAGGACGAAGGATGTTTCCACGGTTAAAGCGATGGAGTAGTTTACAACATTATATATGGAGTGCTGGCTTGAAGGAAAAGGCAATCCAATGTCAAAAGCACTTCGAAGGCAAGGCCGAAGGAACTTTGAAGCCAAAGGTAAGGGTACTTTGACGGCAAAGGTCCTTCCATGGCATTGGCCCGTCGATGGCATTTGTCCTTTCGATCGCAAATGCCCTGTCCCGTCGATGGCAAAGGCAACGGCTCTTCGAAAGCAAACACGAAGGCCATTCTAAGCCAAAGGACCTTCGAAGGTAAAGGCAAGTTCACTTTGAGGGCAAAAGCCCTTCGATGCCAAATGCAACGGCACATTGAAGGCAAAGGTCCTTCGGTGCCAACAAGCAAACATCCTCTTTGCTCACAATCACTCGAGTCTTGCTACGGCTGTGTTGGACTCAGTTGGAGGACGTTGCATTACCACTCTATACCAGAGAGTCTAGGACGGAGGATGTTGCCGCGGTTAAAGCGATGTAGTACGTAGTTTGAAACATTACTGTATATGTGGAGCGTTGGCTCCTAGGAAAAGGACATCCGATGACAAAGAAAAGGCAAGGGCCCTTCGAAAGAAAAGGCGAAGGCCATTCTAACGCAATAGGCCGTTCTAACGCAAAAGACGAAGGCCATTCTAACGCAAAGGCAATAGGCCTTCGAAGGCAAGGGCAAAGGTCCTTTGAAGCCAAAGGTAAGGGCACTTAGAGGGCAAAGGCCCTTCGATGGCAAAACCCAGGGACGAGTACGTTATCGTTCATTAACGAGTACTTTATCTAAGGTACAAGAATCATTCGTTAATGACTGGATTTATGAGGATGTTCACGATAAGATCAGTAGCAGTCAATTTGGCGGTCTGCCTACAGCCTACAACGTCGACAATACGTACATATGCGTTGATTTTATTATATATTTGTTTACATAAATGGCATTATGACAATGGAAAAGCCCAAAAAAGATTGTTTCGTGATTTTGGGAAGGCATTTATTTGACTTGATCAATCATAATTGTGTTGCTAGAAAATTTTATGCAAATCGGTGTTCGTCCGGCTGTGGTTGGTTGGGTTGTTGGTTTGCATCATATCTTTGTAACAGAATCACAAGTAACGTCTTTCCAAGGAGAACAGTCTTGATTGTAAAAGAATCAAGGAAGGCGTATATAATTAAAATAAACCAACGCCTATATTATACACCCATGCACCCCTCCTATATATCTAGGATTATACCAAATCACCAAGATCAAACATGCAATGCCGTGTTAGGGGTAGACGACCAGGATGTAGCGATGTTTATGGGATGACACAACATTATCGGAAGTAATCAATGTCAGTGACCATTTAGATGGTAACTCCATTGGCAATACTCGAAGGAACGTAGACAAAAGTGGTACAGTTTGCAAAGGACGAAGGAGAATGGCACTAAACTGTAAAAAAGTGTATGGAGATGATTATATTATTGACTTTGGGAAAAATATATTCCTTATACCCCAATCCATATAATGTTTGTGGTCATAATGTTTCTCGAACCAAGTCAATATATATAAACTACTGGGGATAAGGTTATATGACGATTTTAAGCGGAATTTTGCCTTTGACTTCGGAGGGCCATTGCCCTGAAGGCAACGCTCAACATGTAACCGCTGCAACATCCTCCGACGAGTCCGACCTAGATTCTCAGGTAATGCAGCATCCTCCGACCGAGCCGTAGCAAGATTCGAGCTAGTGATTGTGAGTAAAGAGGATGTTTGCTTGTTACAGTCGTACAAATTCACACTTTGCCTTAGGACGGCCTTTGGCGAAAAAATCCTGCGTGTCGACCCCGGGCAGAGCATTGGACTGGTATATCCCAAAGGTCGCGGGTTCAATTCCCACCGTGGTCAGGCAAACGTTTCAGCTTCCGCGGTGTGGATGCACACTCAAAGTAACATCACAGACATCAATGACTAGAAGAAGTTAATGATTATCTAGCTCTTTATTAAAATACTTCAGTTTTTTCCAATTATATTTGACAGAGTGACATGATCATTATATTTATAAATATACTCCGTACTTTTAATACATCTTATTATTAAAGTGATAAATTTTGTAGGTTTTGTGTTTACAGATGGTTTACATCGATCACGTGACAAATTCTAAAATCTAAACCGCTGAAGGAACAAACTTGGCTATCTCATATGCATGTTTTCCAGATCGCTGTCACGATTGTTCCCAAAAAACTGCGAGTCGACAAAATTATTTCTCCTTCGTGTCACGAAGTTCTAAAATATATTTATTGCTGTTATATATCAACAACATTTAGATATCCAATCCCACTTTAATTAATAAAGGAAATAATATACATGAAAAAATTATCAATTTTGATTGGCTAAGAGCAGTGGAATTTTTTCGAAATACAGTGCCAAATAAATGAAATACAAGTGCAAAAAATGAAATACAATGCAAATTTCTTAATTTTATATTTTTCAAACTTCTTAATTTTCTCACGTGACTGCATAATTTTTTCATGTATATTACTAATAGGTAATAAATATGGTTTCTCGTGCAATTTGAGAAAACATACACTTGTGAGCTTTTCAAAGACTTTCAATTTTTGATAGTCTTTGAAAAACTCACTCGTGCATGTTTTTTTCCAAATTGCACTCAAAACCAATACAATAACCTATACTAATAACAGTATAACACTTGAATTTTATTCACCGCAAAGTAGGCTAGTACACCAAGATGGCGACCAAAAAGCAAGGGAGAGTTTAGCCGAAATGTTCAGATTGTTCTTTAAGGTTGGATTAAATTAAACGTAACTTCTTAACCTTACCAGGCATCTATACAATAAAACCTAATAATGTCATGCATATATATATAACACCGCGGAAAAACGTCTGCGCATGCATCAACCTTACCTGTAATAGTATTGCGAACTTGATGAGAAGCTGTTCCGAACGTTTCCGAAGGCTCAAAATGGCGGTAAAAAGGAGTGACTTCATTGTGCGTCTTTACAGCCAGATTTCAAGCGCAAAAATAAACATGTCATTCTAAAAACTAGAAATAAATACAGCCAGAAGGTTCAAGAAATTGTATTGTACAAGAACATGAACTAAAGGTGATTGTTGACAAATTTATCGTCTGAAACATTTTGTTTATCAACTAAGCAATGACAATTTCCGAATTTTCGTTTGAGATACATTTCTTTAAAAAAAACTGTGTCGCTAAATATAAAAAATTTGCGTGTTCACAATAATTAAACTTTAGGATTTATTCTACAATTTGAGTGGGTTAAGAAGCTTAACTTTTCGAGAGTTTTCTTAACTTTTGAGTTTGAATTTTTGTTTTGAATAATTTTGCACATATTTTCGAAGTCGTGTCCGTTAAAATCAACATTTTTTTACATGAATTATATTTCATTCCATACTTTAAATGCCAGAACGCTTTCAATTAATGTCTAGTCTACCCATTTGCTATATTTTCTCGTTTGTTTTACTAATTTTTGACCAATTAATAAGCATGTTTTTGTTTTAGAAATTGATATTCAAATTCCCCGCCATATTTTCATAATTTGGTGCACGCGCAGACGTTTTTCCGCGGTGTTTATATATATATATATATAGTTCAAAAACTTAAAACTGCGTTTTTCAAAAACTTAAAACTGCACATGCGCAATTTTGATCGCCGTTGAAAAACTAACTCGTGCATGTTTTTTTCCCAAATTGTACTCGAAACCATACAGTTACCTCTACAAATTGTGTGTACGACACAGTTCTACCAGCATCCAAAAAAATGTGACGCCGGCACTTATATTTTTAAAAATACCATCAGTATAACTCGAAGAGGAAAATTGTATCGACTTGGTAAAGGCTATACGGAACATATAAAACAGCCAGCTTTGCAGCTTTTTATTTTTTTAAAATTTTGTGACATCGTGACGTAAAGCATCTATATATCCAAATTTATTTCAAACTCAAGTGTAACTATAGCTATACTAATATTAATTCGATATATCAATTGACTTGAAAAATATACTTGTTTGTGCTCTACGTATTTCTAAGATTAAAACCCAACGACCCAAGAAATGTCATATCCGCTTGGGGATGGAAATATACAGCCTCTCAAAGTCAAAACTCAACCTCGTGAAACCTCGACCCCTAACCGCGACTGGAGAATGGACTTGTACATGCCTAAGGCAACCTTTTGGGCTGGGTGTCAAAATTGGCCATCCAAAAAATAGCACACAAAACGCGTGGCACACAAAACATGGCGCACGAAATCAATTGGCATATACTCATCATTCAGTGTCTTTTCGACAAAAAAGCGTAAAGAGCATAAAGTAAACAGCAGCTTTTCAGGTATTCAAGAAATATCACTTGCAAGTTGTCGTTTAAAAAAATTTTGTTAGGCCGCCCATATTCAAACGTGGCTGCCCATAGGACGGTTGGATGGCCGCCTGCCCTGGCTAAGAGCCTGTTTATACACGGGCTTAGAGGTCGAGGTTTTATCGCTTTAAGTTTGAACCATCAACGTTGAACCCCTCACTAATCGAAATCTGGATACGGTTGAACTGCATGTTCTAATGAGATGGCAGCCAGTTCTTTCATCCATTCCTCCATCAATACTGCACAATAAACTGTATTCTTTATCTTACTGATATGTTTGCTGCGTGTTCTTTCACGTGAAATACCTTTCGGTCCCAAGTTCAATAAAATCCAGCTTGATGCCTGTCCAATGGCGTTTTCAAGATCTTGGTCGCTGGATGAGGAATCAACAGGCCCTACAATAAAATTCTTTCTTTCTACAAATGTATTTCTGTACGGTGAGGGCACTTCAGGAGTTTTGATACGTGAAGGACTGTTACTAGAAGAACGCCCAGATTTTGTTCGATCTCTCGATGATTTAGGACTGGCAGGTTGAGATACTTTGGGAGATACCGCTCGCTTTCTTGTTTCTTCGCGTTCAATTAAGTTCTGTTTTGCAAGCATTAACGGTTGCTGGAGGTTGTCTAACTGACTTAAATTTGACTCAACCCTTGCTTTCACCGAGTTTAAAATCTGCAAGGAAAATTAATGAGCAATATTCAGTTAATTTTCTTTCTAAAACTTTCACTTCCGTTCAAAACACTTTTTTAAAATTCTTTTATTTTTTATTTTTAATTCCATAAAGGATTATACGGAAGCTTTAATATAATTATTTTTGCAACGTTTCGGGCAGTTTTGCTGTCCATCTTCAAGTCTACAAATGACTACAAACCACATTACAAAAATAATATAATATTAAACTTTATGGAATTATGGGATTAAAAAATAAAATAATTTTAAAAGGAATGTTCAGTTAAAACATGAAAAGCACCCCTTTCCGTCTACAGTATACACACGTAAAAATCTCACATCAGGCTTGTAGCAAGCTTGTCAATAAGTTGTAACAATGCTATTATTTTATCAAGTTGCCACAAGGTTGTCACTCACAACTTGTAGACAAATTGTTCAATTGCAGGACGATAACAAGTTTGTTGGAACAACTTGTAACAAATCTGTTGAGCTCAACAACCTTGTAGCGAGTTGTCAACAAGCTGGGAACAAGCAGTGCGAACACATCCTGTTGACAAGTTGTTGGAACAGCATTTGTCACAAGTCTGCTGCAGGTTTGTTACAGCTTATGCAGTTTTAGTATAATTGTGATCAATAACACTGGAAAACATAGTGAAATTCATTGCATCACTAAATCCATAGTATGTCCATGGACTTCCATTGTAAGATCCATATCCTTACTATTTCCACGGTAAGGATTTTGAAATACAATTCAAATTCCAGTGTAATCGCGATTGCGGGTTTTTACACTATATGATTGCCACTGATACAAGGTGAAGTAATACGAGCGACATTTTTCTGCACTTTCCAAAAACGATTTAGAGAAATATTGATTAAAAATATTCAAAATTTAAAACATCTAAGACAATATGCCACAGCGTTTGGTGTCAGCTGTTGGTGCACGATGCAGTAATTTTGTCTCTCCATTTACTTCATCTGCAGGTCCGTGGACTTTTTTTACCTGAAATATCGACTTGACGTCCGGTTGTAACACCAAGCTATGGTTCAATAAGAATGATCTGAGTAATGGTTGAGGATACTCGGCTAGACTTGAAATTATTCCAGTTAGAACTTCATTCAGAGCTATCGAGTTCTCCGGCATTTTTTCCAGTTTCGTAAACAATTTCGTAATGAAAGGACCAAGCAAGACTTCCAGTTTATCATTTTCGATTGAAAGTGATCTTTTACGTGCAGGTTTGTCTTCGTTCTTACATAATTGTGATATTTCTGGCGACGACGTGCTCGTATGCATTACAGTACCATTTGACACAGGTTTATCAGCCGTGTCTGCGTTTTCGTAACTAGGATCCAGTCCATCCCAATGCGCAGACCAACAGGAACACGCCATTCGACGTTCCGACAAATTTTTCCTCACATCAAGTAAATAATTCAAGAAATCCGATGACAAACTACCCAGTTCCTCAGCGCTGACATTTGTTTGTTTCTCCTTACTGGAGTTGCCTTCGACGGGAGCGTCCTCCGCAGTCGAGATTGACTCGCTTTGTACGTGTGAATAACAACAAGATGGGATCGAAGTTAAAAATCGCACAGCAACTTTTCCATATAAATCCATTTCCTGAATCATCTTCCTTTGACTTCCCATAACGTGATTACAAGGTAGAAGGTATCTAGGAAGAAATACAAGAAATCAGGAAAAAGTAAACGAAAAGAAGTGGGGTGTGCTAATCATCTTTACAGTACTTGCAATTGAGACTACAATACGATCATACTAGCTAGTATACTACACAGGAGCGAAATAATGCCTATAGTGCTGTGCGCCAGAGTTTTGGTCCATTTTGCTTGAGCGGGAGTTTGCTCAAATCCGGCAGCAATTATTTGTGCAGCAAGCTAATGTCGAACATCGGCGAGAAGGCCTGAATCCATCGACGAAAAACATAGTACGAAATGTTCATGTGAAGTCTTAAAATCAAAAACAAAGATAGTGCTTCAACTTTAAAATGTGAAATTCCCACTAAATTTCGAATTTTCACGGCGAATTGAACGGAGCTGGAGGTGAAAAACCCGGACTTTGCACAGCACTAACAATGCCCGCACACTACGCCGTTACAGTTTGTTCACAAATTAAATTAGCACTCATAGTATTTCAAATAGAGCAAAGAAATTTAAACGAAAAGCATTCGAATTTACCGTTTTAAGACCAGAGATGCTTGGTTTGCAAGCGGTTCAAAAAAGTAACGGCGTTTGTGTTCACACGAAGTCGCTAGCGCTTCGTTTTCATCTCGCTCCGTTTTCATCTTGCCCCCTTTAGAAACCGTGCTTAAATTGATGTTTGTGATGTTACTCTGAGTGTGCATCCACACCGGGCGAGCTGAAAAGTTTGCCTGAACACGGTGGGAATCGAACCAGCGACCTTTGGGATACTAGTCCTATGCTCTGCAACTGAGCTACGCGGTCAAATCGGTTCGAGTTGATGATGTATTTCGGAACTGAGTCTAATTTCTTCGATATCAGTGTATTCTAAGATATGATATTTGTAAGATATGATACACCAACACACACTCAGAGTAACATATTCACTTGAGTACATACAGTAACACGTGCTTAAATTGTTAAGGCAAAAGTGACGTTTTCAAACATTTTTGCTCCGGCTAGTGTGAATGCGACGGCTAATTGTGACTTTCCTGGGTTTTTTTCAAGGCCGTCCGGCGTACTGTGAACGTCGTCTGAGACCTAAGAGCAACGAGTCGAAGGATGTCCGAGTAGTGGCGGGGGTCAGGGGAAACTAAGATTTCCAGCGTGGTCAATATGTCGGCGACCTACATTATTTCGCGAAGTGTCTGCCACTTTTTCTAAGGGGTGTCTCTGGTTGCCACCTTATAACTCGTTCTGATCGCGGAGCAAGCTATCGTACGATGGAAGGGTCAGTTCAGGAATTATTCCAACACACCCGTGCCTGTCAACGGAACAGGGAGGAAACTGAACTACCCGGCGAAAACCCACGACTTCAGTAGAACGTCGGTAGAGCGTTGACTGACCCTTCACCAGGGGTGGAAAAAATAGGCGAGCACTGCTCGCAGGAAATGTTAAACAGCTGCAGGAAATTCGTTTGAATCATGAAGATTTGCTATTGAACATTTGAAGGAAACCTTAACACCCATGTCCCACTACGGACGCAACAACGTATGGTTGACAGGCATTATTCCTTGAATTTAAAACCATGGTCAGCTAGAACACTATATGTTTATGCACATGCAGATTTAGCACGAAAATATTCCGTTGGTCTGCAGGAATTTTTTGTCTCCAGGTTGTGCTCCCAGGAAGAAAATTCTTTTTTCCTGCCCTGCCCTTCACTTAAGTGTCAGTTACGAGATCGTATTGTCGATGTGATCAAAAGACAAACACAACCTTGATTTGATTTCTCTGCTACCACTAGCTTTGATTTGATTTCTCTGCTATACCAATGGCTATCAAATAAAAACATGCCCCTTTCTTGGAAGCGACATTAATCATTATGGATGTGTCTACATTGATTTATTCAATACGATTAATCGATTGTTGATAACAATTAATCGATTACCAGTACGAAATTTTACTTAAGTGATAAGTGATATACTTACTTCAAAACCAGTTCAATCATCACATCCTCAGAATTCAGGTTGACAAGCGTCTGAAATAACGCCAATGTTACTAAACATAGCTGAAATGAAAGAAATCAAGGTAAGCCAACTATTCCGGGACCATATACCTGTAAGTCGTTTTACCAACGCCCTGTGTTTTGCTTGCTGTGTTTACAACCTCTCAAGGTTTAAATTCCTCGCGGTGCTGATGACTTTACAAGCACGGTTTGCCTTATTAATTTAAACTCCTCCTATACAGTAGCTGATCGAATAGCAAAGAAAGAATTACTAATTATGGTCAGTCAATTTGGTCATGTGAAATTGACTGATAACAGTATACTTAAATTGCACCAAAGAAAAATTTTGGTCTTATACATTGATAAGTGCTTGTGGTCGTAACATGGATCTCCAAAATAAACCAATATGTAACCACTTTTAGTTAACCATATAAAGTTACATTCACATTTATCAGGGTGTTAGCTTCAGTAAAAAATTCGGCGTTATACGCCGTTTTGCCAATGGATGATTCCAGCATAGACTAAATTTTGATCCAGACAAGAAGGACGAAATCTTTCATTATTATTTATAGCTTCAAAGAACATCCTTAAATTAGTAAAATTTCCAAAATTAGCAAATTTTGAGTATTTTAGTATTACGCGCGGAAAAATGTACCACTTTTGAGCCGAAAGTGGTTCAGGTTCATTGTAGCTTCTACAGATAACTATGTTGATTACCTCATTCTTAGTATCAATTCGTTGTATAAGTGAATGCAATATCTGAACTTCATCAAATGTTTCTTGAAGAATGAACTTCAGAAAAACCTTCATCAATTTAGGTTCAGTAATGCTTCCCAAGAATAAGTCAAAATACGCTGTTGCCGCTGTTAATGCGTCAGAGGAATTCTACAAAACATCAATGAATCATTACAGTCAAAATACAAAAAGTGTCCCACTTCCGCTTCTGTAGTCTGTTGCGACTTACTGTAGGTCTGTAGTTTGTTCTGTTTTTCTGTAGCGGTTACAGATTTATCTGCAAACACCACAATAAGATAACTTGTGGCGAAGGATTCATTTTGTGTTAAAATCAAGTTCAACACATAAAAGTGCGACATTTAAATTTTATCACGGCATTTGTTGATAAGTAGGTAACAGCTAGATAAAAACAGAACAAATCACTGCAAAATAAGGGACTGGTCAAGTTCGGTGACCCATCTTTATTCTTAGGATGTACAGTAGATAAAAATTTCAAAGCCCATCTAATCTTACAAAAAATTTTTCATGACCCACCCACCCAATCTAAATTGGGAAAATACACTTTTATAATAAAAAAACAAACTTGCAGGTGTGAACATTGTAAATATACACGGCACTGTATTGACATACATAATTCCACCAAGCTTGACCAACACATACATCACCAATTACGATATTGAGCTGCTCTCCAGTTGCTTGTACTGGCTGTGATTCGACCACTTTTTGTTGTTGTATAAACAAAGTACTTGCTACAATAGCATTATTTGCATTTGATAATTTGGATAGTTTTGTTTACTTTAATTTGAATTTTTTCTGTGTTGGTGTAGTGTACTCAGGTGAATATGATATTTGTGGTGTTACTCTGAGTGTATATCCACACCGGGCGAGCTTGAAAAATATGCCCGGCCACGGTGGGATTCGAACCTACGACCTTTGGAAT